ATGGGACCAATTATGTAGAAAATATGATGCTGGCTTTGGCTGATGTTGAGTAAACCTTGAGGCTCTAGTTTCAGATAGAGTGAAAAATCGTGAAAGCATGTAATGCTGTTAATAAATACTTAATGACAAAAAACTACAAGTTAGTGATGTTATTCTATAAATATTTTAAAATAAGGACGGAGAAAAATTAATGAAATTAGAAAGTCCTACAAATCAAACCAAAGTTAATTATTTAGACGCCAGAATTTAATAGGCATACAAAGAAAGTAGTGATGAAGTGAAAATAATTATTAGAGAGAATACTAAATTGATTATGAAGCACAACAGTTCAAATAATTTTTTCAAAAACTGGATATATGATGGTAACAAATAGCCTTGGATAGGGTACCCAATAACAGAACTAGGCTGGAAATTATTGGATTTTAAAAATTTAATGAATTGCAATGACTACCTATCCAACCATTGACTGAAAGAAGCTGGTCATTGAATCAATGAACTGAGAATGTACAAATATTAAATGAACTAGCATCAACATCCATTATTTAGTGAAGCAATAAAATAATAATCTACATCTGACTTTGTATTCGATGCAAGCATTTCAGTTTTCCTCGGCACACCCGGTCTCAGAGCCTGATCCCTCGGCTCAGGTATTTTATCGGTTATACAGAAGAGAGTGCCTTCCAAATGTAGAACGCCATTAGGATGTTGTGTGCATTGCGACAGACAAATTCTCACCGGAGTACGATGTACCGAATACCGCAAAGGCTCAAAATGACGGTCCAATTCATACACATGCATACACAACATAGAGATATATATACACACAAGCTCGGATAGGCATTGCACGGCTCAATGTCAGTAGTTAATCGTCTTTCGAGGAGAACCGAACAAAAACTAAATAGGAAAGACTGAATCCCAAGGGGACATGAAGGAGTTCAATATGGAATAGAGTAGTATAATATAGTAAGTCAATTACAACAACATTTGAACGGGCAGACCTGACTGTTATGATAAAAATCAGTAAGCCTGGACTGAAGGAGGGAAGTTTCTAAACAGAAAATCGGCTTCCAATAGCATACATGGTCCACGCTAAAAAAAGCAAAGTTGAAATTACAACTGAATTTCCCATCTCATCGGTTGCCTAGACTAAGGAATATGGCTGATGCCCACAAACGTCACATCAAACAAGTGAATTGAGGGCTCAAACGTCGAACAGATCGCACAGTCCACTTCGGCGGAGGCCAACACAGGACCATGTTACCTTCGAGCGGATTTCAGAGAAGTTTATCCCACTTCGGCTACAGGTCTCCAGTTCCTCCTCAGAAATGCTCAGTTCTTGGATAGGAGCATAGTTAGCCAAAGTTGCTTAAGCTGATATAAGGACTGATTGTTCAGTTTTTCCCAAGATAAGATGAATGGGTTTTGTGGTAACATTACATTTCACTGAGCCTCGCCTTCCGACTGACAGTTTTTTGTATGGAATGTCAATTAACCAAACGTGTTAGCCATTTTAAATGACGATACTACTTGCTTTCGTTTCAAGTAGATGGTACTAGTAGTTATTGAAAAAAAACCTACTTATGTTGATAATAATTAGCGGCAAGTAGCTGTTGGCTCAATCGACAATTCTGCAATAAAAAAATGCCATTTGAGAGGTAAGTCTAAGCAAAATTCAATGGTACCATGAGGCTTATTCATTTAATTGCAGAAAAAACTGTCAGTACTTGAGTCAGGTGAAGCGAGTGGCTGAATAAGTGGCCAATCAAAGATTGCTGATAGCCTCAGGGCCTACTTATATCAAAAATAAGTATACTCCTGATGTGAATTTAGTCAACACGAATCGGCGTTAATTGTCAGCTGGTACCTTAAACCAGAGCCCAGAGGTTGCCGACCTACCGACGTACCTTGTGCATCCGTAGTGTGGCTCTGATCTCGCGCTGCCCATAAGCTGAGTCGAAGCAAGTTGCGTTCCATTCGAGACTGGTGCAATTCCACAAAAAGACAAACAGTGAAAGGGGTGTTTGAGACTGTAGGTAAACCTGGAAGAATAATATTTTCGTAAAATTTCACTTTGCATTGCCTCCTTCGTATCATCCAGCCTCTGTCTAGCCAGCAGTGTCGACCTCGCCTCAGTCCCATCTGTCCTCCTCACGCAATTCGAAAGAGGATTCTGCGAGGAAAACTGGTGGCAGGTCACCATTTGACCACATAGTCGTGGGTGCCAACGGGTTAAAGAAAAGATGCGACATTCGAGGCAAGCAGGGTCTCTTCTAAATAGCATATTTAGAGTGATATTAGCAACAAGACAAACGTGTTTTTTCGGCAAACAAGTGGCAGCCTACTTATATTCGTGGCGAGTAGGCGTCGATCTCGGACAAATTGGAAGACAAGACAAGATAAAAAAGGTCACTCGTGGCAATGTGGCGTAGTGGTGCACGTGTCGAAATTATACATTTCGCTGTCATAGTTCGAGTATTGCTGAGGATGTTGATAGGATCTTTGTGAGGTCGAAACTGCAATCCACTCCACATGGGATAAGAACAACATTTGGGAAAGCAAGGCTATGTGAAATTAAATGTAAAACATCGGTCCTCCGCATAGAATTGTGGGAAAATTCAACTACCACAACTCGTATATCTGATCTAGTGGTAGTCTCGACAAACTACTTGATTACAATTTCTTGTGCTGCGGTAAAATTTAGCGTCGTTTTAATCACCCGAATCCCAGGTCTGGGCCGAGGGAATTAATATTCTACTCAGGTTCTATTCGGTTCATCTGACTGCAGATGGGGTCATGTCTAATTTGGCCAGTCATGTCTTGATAGCCTCAATCTAGGCTCATGCGGTCGAATGCTCATTCTGTGACGTGTCGGTGGAGGAAGAACGCTTTGTCGAGGTTGACTCACTTTGCTTGGATGAGGCAAACAGGCTCGCAGAGTCGAAGGACGAGATTTTTTGCCCATGCCCGGCCCGAAGATTAGGTTGCTGACTCGATTAATGATAGAGCTGGCCGGCCCCCGGAGAGGAGGACAGTACTAATTGCCAGGACGACGGGATTAGACAATGCTGCTTTTGTTGGCGTTGGTGACGAGGGTGTCTTGGAGGGGTGGAGACGTAGAATGCTGCGTCAGATTCATTGTATGCGCCTCATTTGTGATACACTCAAATCGAGCGTAAGAAAGACGCGTCATCCGATTTTTAGTTGAGCCGAGGCATTATCCGTTGGCCTTGCTGCAACTGCATGCTCCATTCAACTCGGCAGTGTGCTTACTGATGACGTCATGAGTAGTCTGTATGAATCGTAGTCGAGATAAGTACAAGAACGAGGCGATCTCATTTCTCAACATCATTCCTTTCGTTCATCCTCCTATTTTGAGTCTGAATGGGCTAAAAATCTACGCTCCATCTTCGCATCAGATGCTTGAGGGGATGAAAGACTGATAGTTGAATTTGTCTTGAATGGTTGTCTCCGAAAAGGTTTCATCATTCCGGCTGGACTGGACTGGACTGGACAGCAGCTTTGACTTCGCCCGGTGCGACTCGAAGCCGGATTGTGTGGCAAGGCTAAGCAAAATTCCACGGTGATGTGAAATCTATTCATATGAATGGGGAAAAATTTAACTATAATTCCTTCATCAAATAATGCGAAGTAGGAGAGATACAGCTCTTAGGCAAGATCTTGTCTTTCTGATTACAAGTAATGTTGTCAAATGTAATGGCCAGTGTGGGAAAGCTTCTTCGACGATTCCACAACAAATTGTGCCATGGGAGAGGCCATGAAGTCTAAACTGCAGTACAGTACAGCCCGGATGAGGATACCATTTGGGAGACAAGGTTCAGGAAAATGCTGTCATTTCGTGCGAAAGTGCACAATAAAAAAAGGATCTGAATACCGATCCCACC